TTCTTTTTCCTTCTTTTGGGTCTCATTTTGAAAATGTTTTTAATGTAAGGTAGCGGAGACCAATACTGCTAATCACTACTCAACACTACAGCAAGAGGATACTGTTTTTAATACAAAGTAGTGGAGATTAAGATTGCTAATCACTACTCAACACTACAGCAAGCATATGACAAAGTGTAAAATAAAACAGTACAGAACAAAGATACTAAATGAGGGAACACAATTCGTACTTACTCTAACTATCTGGCTATGCTGTCTTTCCACTGCCAGATGAAGAGGAGTCTGAAGGTTAACATTTTGTAAGTCCATGTTAGCTCGGCCCTGAGGACAAAATAATGGTCATTAGCAGTCACTTGTAGACACACACACATACACAGATTCATACGAATTGTTTAAAACAATACAGGGGAACCTGTGAGATTTTGGGACAGACTGAATAGAATTTCTACTCGGAGAGTAATATTTTATGACATTGTGTCAAACTACCCAAGTTAATCACAGAGAGAGTTTCTAATATGGCAAAAGTTGTTTAGTTGATTGGCATTTTTGGCACAAAGCAACATGGCTATCTTCACCAAACAACTGGTAAAAATCTTATAAAAGTAAAATTCAATAAAATGTAGAAATTAATCGAGTTAAAACTAAACAATGTGCAAAATATCTAATAGAATTAAAAAGGCCAATGACTCATAAAAATTTAAAAATACAATCATGTTCGACAGTGTCACCATCGCCAATGACACCGTCGCTCAGAGTTGTAATGATGGCACAACAGTAAAATGTGGGCTATTGTGATTTGAGTGTCACAAAGGCTACATACACACTGGTGGTTCAGTACCAGATGAAAGAAAACGGTGATTTAAAAAAACTGTGACCAATGCATAGCCTAGCCAGAACAACTTCCTCATTCCAATCCTTATGGAAACAAGATGGCCAAAGAACAACAGAAGGTTTGATCTGGAAAAGCTTGTTGTCACATTGCTCGCTCATGTCAAATGCCAACTGGCACGAAGGGTGAGAACCAATGGTAAGTGATTCCAGGGCCAGTAGAGAGCTAAGAGAATCAGTGTAAATAGTACAATCAGTGTACTGCGTAGCTTCTATGTGATCCAAGACAAGAGAAATGGCATACAACTAAACAGTAAATACAGACACTGTAAAGGGGATCCTGTGAGCAACCACCAAGCCACAACAAACCATGGCAGAGCCCACTGAGTCACCTGATTTTGAACCTTCTGTGCCTGCTGGCAGGCTGGAGATCACCACGGACAAGGATATCTTGGGAAACATGTTGAGGTTTTGGGTATAGAATGAACAGCTGCTTGAATTATACAATCAGTCACTGCCTCCACTCAGTCATTAATAGATGGAAGACTAACAACAGCAGGATCGAGTTCTGAGAGATTGGTGAAAGAGAGTCAGTCAGCCAAAGAAAATGGACCCGAGGAGACACCAGAAACTGGGGTTGAAGGAAGTGGACCCAGGCAGTCACTGGAAAGAATAGTGTGGACAGAGATAGGAGTAGACATTGACTTGTCAACTCATTTATTCATAGAGGGCAAAGAATCCTTCACATTGTTTGAGAACAACTCTGTTGGAGGCATGGAAAGATCTGTCTGCTACTGTAGCAGTGGAAAGTAGTGCAGCAGCATATGTCTGAAATGGAGTGTGGAACAATAACTTTTGAGCCTCGGGGTAAGAAATGTTATGGTCAGTACATAAACATTGTACCTTTTTCTCTTCCACCCACTTAGGGCAAAATCGGTAGTAAGAGGGGTGGGAACCACCACAGTTGATGCAGTGAGGATCCAGTTGACACTCGTAGGTGTCCTGGTCTTTGTCACCACAACAAGAACTCATCAAAGAACCACGAAAAGATGCCCAAACACCCATTGAGAACGCCCAAAACAGGACCAACTAATTGACCCTTGGGGGCACCCCAAGGCCACCTGTCTACAGAAATTCAAGGCCAAAGTGATGTGTTGTAGTCAACTACCAAGATCCTCTTCTCCCCTTCACAGGTGGACACGCATGGCAAACACATGGGTGGATGTTCAGATCCCAGAGAAGGTAAATTGAAGGTATAGAACCTTCCCTGGGAGGTCCCTTCACCATGTACAGGAATCCACCTCGACGGGATATGGCAGAAGCTTCAGGTGTATGATATCACACATTATTTCTATACTTGTCGTTGTGGCAAATACAACTAATGTACTGTAAGTGAAGTACAAGTAGAGCAGTGTTTCTCAAACAGTGGTTTGCAACCCCCCAAGGGAGTCATTAGCAGATTTACAGGGGGGTCCCTGAGGTGCACATATCACCTTTGTTATGAACTATGACAAAATACGCGAAGAAATATCAAGAATTTTTCATCCTTGTAGAGAATGGGAGGTTGTGATGAGCCAAAGCCAGGATGCAGGGGTCAACTGGCAAATCCGAACGAGAAACACTAAACTAGAGTATCCATTATTCACACCAGCTGAGAGTACCCATTAAGGATGGGATGCAAAAACTGTATAAAGGACAATGTCCCCTTTCCTTCTTTCTTTTGTTACTAAATCCCTAACCTTTGTCTAGATGTAACTACGTGTATATTGGGAGTTGGTATTTCCATAAACAATTGGTGGTTTTAACAAAAACAAATATGGGGTTAACCATGAGACCCTAACTACAAGTTTACCTGAAGCTACTTCAGCATTAAAAATGAATGGTTTTGCCAAATGATACTGTAATTAACCATGATATAATGCACTTAAGTATATATTGTTAGATGTTTGAATGTGTTTACTTTACTTCGAGGGCTAGCCCATCAGTTGTTAACAGGGCTTATCATAATTATTTTTGACTTTCTTCTGAGAGTAAGTGGAGTTAACTTGAATGTTATTGTGGCATTCAATAATAATTACAACAGAGTGAATAAACACCATGTTTAGCACTGAAGATGTAGAAAACAGACTTACCTGAGTAACCAGTAATTCTGCTACTTCCACATGGTTATTAAGTGCAGCAAGATGAAGAGCTGTATAACCATCATCCTTCTTCTCGTCCACAAGCCATGGCCGGGGTAATTTGGTTAAAAGAATCCGCATAGCACTGTAACGAAATAAGCATTTTATTAGGGGGAAAAAAGTATTAATAGTGAGAAAATCTATTCTACAAAGTAGCTCAGAAAACTAAAACCAAACTCTTCCCTTGTAGTATTCAGACTTTGATTAAAAATAAAAATAGCTATATGAAATACTTCCCTGTGAAAAGAAATAGCATTAATTACTAAAAGCCAAAGCCAAGGGTCAAATACTAAGGTCACAAAAAGACAGTCATACACTAATTGATGAAACATTTTTCAAGCTTAAATGTTTAAATGTTTGTATTAAGTATGTACTAAAAATTTTGATTATATAGTCCCCACAATTCAATGACAATTCAGAGATCAGCAATTGTGATCAAGCCACGACACAGTATGCTTCCAGATAGCTCTAAATATTAAATTTGAAAGTACCAAATTATTCATGGACATTTTTATCTCTCATATATATGTTAACAAACGGGAAAAACGGGGGTGGGGCGGATAACAACACTGACCCTTCCAAGCCAACTCCACAGGAGGGGTCCTAATGGTACAAGTCAGGTTTGGTAATAATAAATCCAGTTATACGCAGGCACACACACATACTTTTGTCAAATAATGGTTTAAATAATTTGACATGTATGTAAAACACAAGTCGAATGACGTCACTTCACTAATTCCGATTTTTTTTCACAGTAATTACAATAGGATTTTTATAGAATCAAACTAAGTTCCAATTTTCACGTACTTAAGCCTTATGTTAACAGTTAGTCGGATTACAGATTTGAAATTTTTTCCTGTCATTTATTATTAATTTAATGCTATAACTAAATTCATAATTAATTTTAACAATAGAGCTTTTTAGAACTGCAACTAGGTGGCGATATAATCGGGAATGCAAGCTAACAGACAATGTGAAATTTTATGGGAAATTTTAGTGAATAATTAATAAAATGAAAAACAGAGCTATCTAATACCTATCAATATTATCCTAATATCACGTTAACGGGATTGGTCGATTTTTATACAATATATTAAATACAATTAATGAATCTGTAAAAAACAAACACAAATATGGCACAAAACGATGTTTCAAGCAGTACCAATGAATTAGAGTAACAATAGTTTAACTGTTAATAAAAAAAACCTTCCGGCAAACGCTGAAATAGAATACGTCTTAAATACATTTTTGAAATTATATAGCTCACCCATTAAAGTAAATTAACTTCCTTCATCCTAATCACAGCAAAATCATGTTTATAAAGTGGGATTTTGTGTAGCTATACTGTAGAAAATTAATTCTACACATTTCCATAGTAACAAGTCCGTTGACTCTTCAAGAGTCAATATCCTGGATCATATTACACTAGCAGACGCCCGTTAAAACAATTCAACGGTAATTTTCCTAAAAATGGGGATGAATAAATATCAAATGTGCAGTCAACCCAATCCTTTGGATTAGAGCATATGTGCAATATGATTGTCTAGTGGGCCGTTTAAACTGTCCTTTGTCATTCCATGTGTTATTTCAATAATGAACATTGGATATTGTTCTTAAGCAAAGGAGATTGAATACAATGCATTGTTGGCAAAAAACCTTAGGTTTTCTATGCTATAGGTGCATCCAGCACGTAAGTAGCAGCGGAGATTTTTCCGCTGGATGCCATCATTCCTTGTCATTCTACAGAGTGCAAAGAAAGACCGTTATTGAAGTGAGTATTTTTAGACAGTTGTCATTTCTGTAAAAAGCGTCAAAGGGTACAGATTCAATTCAGTTCAAATCAATTTATTCGACATAGTACAACAAAATTATGTATGTATATAATACCGATATATGAAAAAACAAAACAAAAAAAAACATAAGCTGAAGAACAACAAATATATACTCAACGCGTTCTTCTATTTATGCGTTTATTGCGTTCACGTTGTTATCTTCGAAATATTTATCTGAAAGTTCCGTTTTTTTCTGCGTGAAATTCCTTCACAAAAAGAAACATTTTTGTTGAGGTCTTTATTCTTTCTCAGATTTACTGATATTGATATGAAATGTTAGGAATTGCAAAAAATGAATAATTTTCCCTGTAACATAATCTTGAAAACAAGCAAGTTTGATATATATATATATATATATATATGTGTACGATTTGTTCAGGAGATGCAGAGCGTGACAGACAAACAGACATATGGCTATTATATATAAATAGATATGGCCTTCATTATGTCTGTTTCTTATACAATTTTGTTATATTTGTTTCCACATCAGACTTTTAGGATATCGTAACTAAGTGTAATGAACTTTGTATTGCACGAAAATACTAAAAATATTATTATCTATTTGAAAATATGTAACACAAATTTTACTTCAACTGAAAATAATGTTTTAAAAATATTTAGAACTACTTTACCAAATCTCATATGTAGTTGAAAATCTACTGTTGTGTGTAACCTCCAAAAAATAAGATTAAGTGAAAAATAAAGACGTCTACAAAGGCATTCACTTTTATTTAAGTTTTAAAAGAGGGAGTGTTTTAAAAGTTCCAAGTCAAATGGGCATATTAAAGAATCTTAATACAATGCTTTTGGGTGGATGACGTCCAAGAGAGGGGTCGTCAGTTTAAAAAAAAGAACGGAGAGTTAAAAATAGAACTAATACGGAGAAGAATTTCATCCGCGATCCATTACTACTACTGGATGGTAAAGCAGCTGACTGGATTCATCTGCATACCGAATATAGCACGTCACGTGACTAACAAGCGATCACATGCTGCGATTCTTATAACCCACGTGGGATATGAAGTAACACTAACACGTCTCGTGGTTTTATCAATTATGCATTTTAGGATTAAGTACTTAAAATGTTTCATTAAAAACATACCTAGAATTTGGAGCATTTTCTCTGTATCTGTTATTTTTAATTACGTCTAAATGTAATACTGTCTTAAGTTGCCTTAAAATAATTTAAATTTTTCAATATTTAATACTGAATATAAATGTTAAGAAGTTCCAACAATTTATCAATCGGAACTCTTCATTGCTGTTCTTATTATCAACACTACAGAGTTTAATATATTAACACGCATGATACAACACATAACTGACAAGTTTATTAACAAATACATTTTGTTTGACTTCTGGTTTCAAAATTTCACGTGGCTACCTTTTAAGCCTAATTCACGCATTTCGCCTTCGTTTACCATACGAAGGGGTTGATAATCAGCGCCCCCTACCCGGCGGAAAGATCATGTTTCACACGTTCAAAGCAATAATGTTTCCTACATACATAGGACGTACGTACTTCAGCAAGAAATTTCGTATTTGAATATATTCACATATAATAATAACATTAACAATTGGAATTAAAAAATAAACGTACAATTTACGTTTTTTTTTCTTATCATTTTTTTAACGTAACTTCAATAAGAACACGATAAAACTTTTGCAAAACATACTTTTTTTCCTTTTCTCCCCGTCTTTAAAACTAAATACGGATATAATTTCTCGAATTTAAATTTCACCATGAAATGAATTCAAAGCAATGAAGATATAAAAGCTGCACGAGTCGACCATTTGTTAGTGTGGAAACTGTATTGTTGCGTCATATCTGGCCTTCTTTCCTGTAATCCAACTTCCGAGGCATCTTCCTGTTGACATAGTATGCTACAAAGTGACTTGGATGTTTACCTTAATGTGGTGACTGAAATGTTACGAAACTAATAATTCTCAAGTTCTAGTAACCAATGTTCGGACTTCTGGATATCCTCTCTGTCATTACCAAATAAATACACCAGTAATATTCATACCGAGGAAATGGTTCGTGAATATTTCATTGCCTATTTTAGAACTTATGATCAAATATAAAACATACATATACTCTGGGCCAGATAAACCGGTACATATAAAGATGCCTATAAATATGTAATTTTATAAATCCACACACCAAACACTTTTCGGCCATAATCCCAATAATAACTAAATAGTTTCAGCCAGTATTGGTACTTACAACCTGAACAGCACATTTTGCGACACGTGAACTAAACGGTCAAGTCAGATAGCAGCAATCCCTAATGTATAAGTGCTGACCAAAAGGAGGGCAACCAATCTGTAGCACCCACCGTCTAATATTTGACTACTTTTCACTGAACAGCGGGATTGACTACCGAAATTGTAACGCCTATACAACTATAATTGCGGAGCGTTTCCAGCGGCACATCGCAGATCGAACTAGGAACATACAGGTTCAGCCAGGTTAAGAAACTAATCTAACAATGCAAAATCGTCAACATAAATGTAAATATAATTGATATATTGTTCTTCATTACCCGAAGATGCTTCGGATAATTCCGAGACCCCCACCTTCATTCCTTGACAATATGAAAACGTTATGACTAGTAACAGCTTCATTCCTTAATAATATGAAAACGTTAGGACTAGTGACGGCTTCATTCCTTGATAATATGAAAACGTTATGACTAGTGACGGCTTCATTCCTTGATAATATGAAAACGTTATGACTAGTAACGGCTTCATTCCTTGATAATATGAAAACTTTATGACTAGTAACGGCTTCATTCCTTGATAATATGAAAACGTTACAACTAGTAACAGCTTCATTCCTTGATAATATGAAAACTTTATGACTAGTAACGGCTTCATTCTTTGACAATATGAAAACGTTATGACTAGTAACAGCTTCATTCCTTGATAATATGAAAACGTTATGACTAGTAACGGCTTCATTCCTTGATAATATGAAAACGTTACGACTAGTAACAGCTTCATTCCTTGATAATATGAAAACTTTATGACTAGTAACGGCTTCATTCCTTGATAATATGAAAAATTTATGACTAGTAACGACTTCATTCCTTGATAATATGAAAACTTTATGACTAGTAGCGGCTTCATTCCTTGACAATATGAAAACGTTATGACTAGTAACGGCTTCATTCCTTGATAATGTGAGAACGTTACAACTAGTAATCGAAGCCTAGATTGTCTTATTCTCTACAATTGTGGCTAATT